TTTAAGCCATTTGAACAAGTTATAATCAGATATTTGGTTTACAGATCTTTAAAGAGTTACCTATACTTGAAATTGCTCTATAATGATTTTATTTAAGTTATGGATTTTTTACGTTTTTCTCAATTAGAATTTAATGTGCTTTAACTATTTAGTTGCCATCAGAATATTTTTATTTCAGAAATGATATCAAAAGCCCATAAGTAGTGATGTAGCATTGCAATATGAAGTATATTAGTTTCTAAAAATCATTTTTGAACATTTTCTAAAGCCATTTGAACAATTATAATCAAGATATCAAATTTTGGTTTAACGGATCGTAAACATTAAAGTACCTATACTGAAATTTTTGAACTAAATCATTTTTTGTGTTAAAATTAAGAAATTCTATTAGTTTTATTTAAAAATACGTTTTCTCTGATACTAAATTTTAATATTTCTTTATTTATTTAATTGTCGAATATTTTGCTTTTCCGAAATGACCTCGAAACCCATAATTGGCGAGTAATTAATTTAAGTAAAAATATTTCTAAAATCATTTTAACATTTTTTAAAATAATTTGAACAAGTTATAATCAGATATCAATTTTGATTTTAATTCATAAGCCTTTTTTTTGGTTGTATTATACTTTGAATTTTTTGAACAAAGTATCAATTTTTTGTGGAAATGAAGTAAAATTTAAGGTCTATATTTAAAAGTTTGGCCAAAATAAGTTTCTCTTAAAATTTATTGTTACTAACTATTTGATATCTAAGAATATTACTAGCACCGAAGTATAAAACCCATAAGTGGCGGTATTAGCATTATAATTAATTGAATATTTTAAAAATCATTTGGACATTTTCTGCATGAACAAGTTATAATCAAGATATCAGAATTTTGGTTAACAGATCGTACAGCGTTCGGGGTACCTATACTGAAATTTTGAACAAATCATTTTTGGCGAAAATAATAAAATTGTGAAGTCTATAGCCTTAAAGGTTTTTGGCCAAAATACGTTTTTCTCTGAACTAAATTTAATGTTCTTTCTTCTGTTGGTATCGAAGGTAATACAAGCATTTTCCAAGAAATGACCTCGAAAACCCATAACGTAATTGCGTGCAATGTTAAATATTCTAAAAATCATTTGAACATTTTCTAAAAACCATTTGAACAAGTTATAATCAAGATATCAATTTTGGTTTTGAGATATCCTTAAGCAACGTTCAGGAGTACCTATACTGAAATTTTTGAACAAATCATTTTTTGGCGAATAGTATTGAGATCTATGCTTAAGGATTTTTGACATTTGTTTCTCTGAAATTTATTGTGTGCCTAACTATTTAAAAGTAATGAATTGTACCTTGAAATGACCTCGAAAACATAGGGTGGGATTATTGGCATTGCAAGTAATTAAATATTATAAAATCATTGATTTTTTAAAGCCATTTGATAAAGTTGTAATAAGATATAATTTTGGTTAACAGTCATTAAGCAGCACATTCTGGGTGCCTGAAGTTTGAACAAAATCATTTTTGGTTGAAATGACCAGAAAAATTGTCGTCTATCTTAAAGGATTTTTGTTAAAAATAAGTTTTCTCTCTGACTAAATTTTAATGTTTCGTCTATTTAAGTACATCAGGATAATACACAAGCACAAGGAAATGACCTCGAAAACCCATAGGTGGCGGTATTTAGCATTGCAATGGTTAGAATATTCATCATTTGAACTTTTTTAATGTTTTGAACGATTATAATCAAGATATCAATTTTGGTTAACAGATCCTTAAGCGGCACGTTCAGGGTACCTATACTGAAATTTTGAACAAAATCATTTTTGGCCGAAATGAAGAGAAAATTGTGAGTCTATAGCCTTAGGTTTTGGCCAAAAATACGTTTTCTCTCTGAACTAAAATTTAGTGCTAATTATTTAAGTAACCTAATTAATAAGGTGCCAAAGAGATTGGCTTTATCAGGGGAGAGTTGGCTGTAGAGTTATCAGGGTGGAAGAGGAGGACAAGAGGGAGTATAGAAGGTATTACAGATGATTGCTCCGAGATTCTTCGCAACGAATAGTTTCCAGGTAAAAAGATTCTGGTTACTGAATGAGTTATGGTAATGTGTTACAACACTATCGCGTTTAGGGTCCACGAAGATCAAGTAGGTAGATGTAAAGAACGCTCACGCTTCTTTATTTTGAGTGTTTTCTTTAGGAAAATTACTTTTATGTAATTTCAATATATAATTGATTCAATGCTGAGTGCATTTTGATTTTAATGTATTAATAAAGGAAAGAATTTTCTCAACATAACTAATCATGGAAATGTGTGGTTAAAAAACCGGAAAGAAACCTAACTTTACCGAACCAAACCTAGCCAGGTTACTATGCCCTGCATTGATTCGTCTTGCTTTGATTATGAATATTAACACCTGTTCCCGGATTATATCTACAATTTGTATATAATTGTTCTTCCTCTATGAAATTCTTTGTCATCATATAACAGCACAGCCACATAATGCAATACCATAAATCATTATAATTGGATCATAATTTGATTGTAATTATTGTAATAAAAGTAACTTATGATGTGCAGAGAGATTTCTCCTCCTCCGTAAAAACTTGCAAACACTACTCTCGATGGTGATTGGCTGTCGTAATGGTGTTTATGAAACGTGATTGGCTGAAATTTCAGTTTGAATCCTTGCTTGTAATTGAAGAAAATGTGACAGATTACCTGACCCGGGGTTCAAGCCGATGTTCTGAATATGGGTAATCCACTGCTGATTAAGGAACTGGGCTCAATTAAAAAATTTGGGTAATTGTTGTTAATTAATGACCTTTGAATTAATAAAATATATTTAGAATATATTTAAAAAGTAAATTACACTGTGCCCGTAAGTTTTATTTCACCTTTATACAGTAGAATGTCGATTTAACGGGAATCGATTTAAGATTATTGATTTAAAGAGACACCCACAATTAAGGACAATGTTTCAAATTAAATCAAGGTGCATCAAATTTTAAATTTCGCGCCTACTGTTTCCCATCAGACACGTCTATGGACATGCTACACGGCTGCCCGCCATCCTGCCACACCCTCACCCATCCTTAGTTCTCTCACTGACGCTTTAGTGAACGGACATACTGTGTGACACTATCTCCTTCTATCACATGTAACAACCATCGTCATTATATCGAAGAGGCCAGCCACTACATCATTAACTACCCACACGTGCTATTTTTGACAGCATAAAGTAAATAAAAAATAAGTTGAGAGGAAAGAGAGTCAGACGAGAGGCGGGTGGAGCGCCACCACCCTCCTCCATCAGCTGATCGCTAGTAAACTGACCATTTCCCATCCCGTAATTTTAGCTGTGTTGATTTATGAGTGTTTGTTTTAGCATAATACTAGAGCCTGTATGAAACAATGTTTTGTTTATTCTAGGAGATGGGCTGAGGTGCATCTGGGTGTATACTCCCAGTCGGGGAGGGCCAGTGGGCCTAGGCAGCAGACGGGACTATGCAGTATCAGTACCGTCCCACTCTCAACTCGGCTGCAGGGAGTGCTTGCTGCATATACTGTATATCATTACACCATATATTTTACCCGATTCTCATATTTAATAGTTAATAAGAGTCTTTGTTAGTATTTTGTGTTTCTCTTAATTACCAAACTAAATTATTCCATTGAAGCAATACTTCGATTCAGCTCGAATTCGGTTTAAAGTGACCTCTCTTGGGACGTACCTCACGTTAAATCGACGTTCTACTGTATACTTAATCTAGTGAGCAAATATTCACTCAAGGCTCCAAGCTAGTCAGTGAAGCCATTAAAGGGGTCACATCAGATATGCAAATATCTATACCTTACACACCTGACCTTAAACTCGTGGTCAATTTGTACAGTACTTGATATGCACAGGTGAAAAAACAGACATTTTAATTTAATATTTTAACTAAGTATGAAGTTTTATAGCAATTATTGATCAACAAACAGACTCATCTCATTTTTTTTTTCTGACGAAGAGAAGCCTACAGACAACCAGATGGATGAACAAACACTGGCATATAATCAAGGAACCGTTATGTCTGAGGGTTGGTGACCACGGTCCTCTACTAAACTTATAGGGAGGGGGGCTGTGTTTACCAATCCTGCCAGACGTTATGACCCCAGAGATCACAACTGTTAATTTCATATATTGTATACATTTCAGTCTCAGCCTTTCTCTGACCCTTCTTCCATTAATTCTACCCATGAGTATCAATAATAAACAACAACCTATAATAAGTCTACTTTAACCTACAATTTTTTTTAGTATTCTCTCTGGTAATCCCCCATACCTGTAACAATGACGGGGAAGTATTTAAGATAAAACAGATAAATTTCACTAACGAACCCTTCAAAGTCCTGTCTCTGCCATTTCCAGTTCAGCACGTCTTCAGTCAAACTCAGGAGTCAAATCCAAAGCATCTGTCATCCCCATCGAGTATCTTGCCCAGGAAGACGAGTGCATTCGGCTGGCAGCAGAAGAAAATCCCTTCACAAAAGCCGTTGGTATCAGAGACGAACTGCAGCTCAATGTGTCCAATGAAACTGTGTGAAGACAGCTGCATGAGACAGGAATCCACCATAGGTAGGGCATGGTAGTGAATAATCGGTTAACCATATATATATTAGTGCAATGTAAATATGCATATTATAATTTTTACATTACAGTCATAAAAAGCCTCTGTGCGGCATGAGTATTGAATAACTTACGCACATCTGTTATAGAGAAACAGCTGAATGGCAGTTTTTTACACTTGTATCAGATTCAAATCATAAGGCAACACAGACAAGAGATATTTTGAATAATATAATTACTACAAAGGAATAAATACTTAAGCTGTTACCTATGTGCATTGTAAAACTTATTCTCATTTACAACCAGAACTTCACTAGTCTGTTACTCTCTAATTGTTAATAATTCATCGCTTCATATGAAAATAACAATTAACTAAATTTCACAGGGTTCCTGCAAGCAAGGAGCACCTGACCGATCAACCAATACCGTGCTGCGAGGCTCACCAGTATATTGTATTTGTGAGGGTTAGACTTTTGATCAAGAGTGATCTTCTCTGATGAGAAGACCTTCGCTTCGACCAATCATGGCCAGATACATTTGTGGAGGCGGCATAACACGAGGTATGTTAAAATACCCTTCTTTATGGTCATTCTTAAACCAATTAATAGTATATATGCTAAGAATGCAGGAAAACTGTTTATCTATTAATCAGCCTTAAGGATAAGCATAAGCGAAAGCTATTAATCAGTTTAAATGTAAGCATGAAATTAGTGTAATTAACCTACATAGGGATTTTACAATGTATAACACTGGAAGCACTAGGATTTCGGGTTTTCATTTACAGATAAGACCATCGCCACATCTCTGTGGAAGCACGCAGCAGACACATTACCTGCAGCAGACACGTTACCTGCAGCAGACACGTTACCTGCAGCAGACACGTTACCTGCAGCAGACACATTACCTGCAGCAGACACATTACCTGCAATACCTGTGGGTGGCTCTCCATCCACGGTGAGGGTGATGTGACAAATTGAGGAAGGTTCACTGCCCAGGAATATATAGACATCCTACAAAATATTTTCCTTCCTTCCTTGCAAGAAAGAAACTTCCCATTCCCACTGTCATGATCGTAATGATGGCTAACCTTTTAAAACCTAATAATTCATATTATGCTCCACGTCCACAAAACCTGTAAACCTTCTGAGTCTCCCAGTGGAAACATCCTCCGTTTTCTCTGTATCATTGACGTCGTCATAGAGATGCCGTATTTGTGACCGAGACTTGTAAGCTCTTGTTTACTTATGAAAACCAGAGACTCTGATACTCAGTGAAATTGTTGTAAAGATGTTAATTATGGAAATGGTTAATTAACCTGAAGGGAACAATCAGACCAGCTTTCTTTGTAGACGTAGTCAGGACGCTACTTGGCTAGACTCCGCCCACCGGAATTGCCATCCAGAACCTTTGAAATCAATTTAATTCTTGCCTTCGATAGCTCAGTCAGAGCATAGTTTGTAAAGATAATATTGGGGAATGAAACTGAGTTCGTAGTCTCAGTTTCAAACGTCAAAGTATACAGTAACGTAGTTCATTGAAATGTCTGAGTGAGTGGAATTCGTAACTTAGCGAGGGCGAGAGGGACCCAGGTGTTTCAACCGTTAGTCAACGTTTGAAATCCCTCCAACCCACAGGTCTCTGTAGGCTACCCGCTCCTGATAGATTGAGTAAATCCTCTACACTCGTTTCGGAGATGGATGAAGGCCAGTAAACACGGGTAACTCCGTGAATCCCGGGCGTCAGGAAATCACCACCCTCCTAGGGCCCAGAGCACTAGTCAGCTCACCTGACGCGTCACTGCCCACGTGGTGACCTAAGAACATCAGGCCAAGCAAACAACTGCCAGCCCCCATCATTACTGGATGAGTCCATGACTCAGTAGGGCTATTTGGTGTCTGTGTTATTCCTCCGAGGACAACTGTAGGTGTCCACCCGAGTTGTAGGAGTGTGTTCCAAGGTACCTCGTGGTGGGAGAAAACTACCATGGTTGGTGCTGTCTGGTGCTGTTTGTACAGTCACATGTGGTAACTGGCGTCATTGCCACGGGTACTAATGGTGCTATAAGGTGCAGAGAGAGAGTTTATGTGTGTCCTTGTACTTACACCCAGTCATGGTGTAAGTGGAAACTGTACCTAATGCCACAGTACAAAATACGTTCAACGAGGTAGTCGAGTGTAGTAGAATTGTTCAAGAAATCTAACGTCATTTTAATAACCATTATATATTTTTAATAAACCATTTTATTTGTATGTTGGGACTATTATTCACCTACAGTTGTCACCGTTATTCCTTCCTATTGCTTGATACCATAATTACATTCACCCATGTGTCCAAACCCTCGAGCCACGCTACCACAGGTCAGAGGTTGAAGTAACTTGACATGAAACTATAAAAAAACCTACTAAAAGAAATTAAATATTAAAATAATTAAAATAAAAGATGAGAGTTGTATGATACTCAGGTGGTCCTTGCACTCAGGGGTAAAGGAAACACTCTGATGTCAAGTCTGTAAGTTCTATAACGGGAACAAACACAAAGGAGTTGAGACAAGGGTAAACAGCGTCCTGTCTTGGAATCTCTCTGGGTATCTCTGCGCATGTGCCCAAAGCCTGAACTAACATTTGGTGACAAAAGGGAATATGATTATAAAACATATAATACAGAGACCTGAATCAATAATGGTAAATAGTACAGAGTTACATATTACAGCCATATTCGTCTCATATATCTACAAGAGTTAGCACACTTATGCCACCAGGTCCAATCATTTTCATGCACGATAGCTGCCCCACCCATACAGCCAATGGTAGTCATGGAGTGGTTTCAACAGCAAGAGAATTGGCTTCTGTTGGAGTGGCCAAGCAAGGGTTGCGACTGTAATCCAATAGAAAACCTATCGGGGACAATGGTCAATACGTGGGAGCCTGAGACAAGAGAGGTCATCTCAACAGCTGATGGCCCATACGAGAAGGCGATGGGAAATGTTCCATCAACAACTGCAACTCAATAGGATCCTCGTCTCTTCAATGCCTGAGAGACTCCAGGCAGTCATTGAGGAGGCGGGAGGATGGACAATGTATTAAATGTGAAATAAATGTTAATACTATTAACAGTAATATTGAGGTAATGTGTGAGTTTTGATTACCCTACACCTGAGTAAATTATACAGTGCACGTGATAATGATCAAACTAAATGATTATTTGAATTTTGATGGAACGGTCACTTAAACAACATGTTAAAACAATGAATTTGTAAATTGGCAAAACAAATTAGCAACTGTTCTAGTGTCTGGAGGAAAATAATTGGGCTTGATTTTTCTACCACTGTGTAATGATTGCACATGATAGATAACTACTGTACAGTAGTAGTAGGTTGGCAGAGTTTGAATCACAGTGTGTGTGAATGAAGTAAAAAAAAAAAAACGAAAAGTATCTTCAAAGGTTCATTTATAATTTAACATATTACTCTCCATTTACAGCAAGTCAATCCCCTTAAGAGTAACTACAATATTGCTATTAAAGATAAAGTGGACTTCTCGGAGTAATTATACACACAACCACGTGTGTATGTAATATATATATATAATATGTATTGTATAAGGATTAGAGATCAACATTTGGCCATGATGGAAAACCAAAAGCACTGTAGTTATCCCTGACCGGAGCTGATCTCCAGGCGGGCCAGGCCACCCATACCGGATCTAGTGCACAAAATTGCACACTGAAAAGTTTTTATGGCCAGTCAATACTATGGAGGGTAAACTTAACGAATTGAACATTCACTGGAAAATAGGTTGGTGTTAAATAACTGTATTTCGGTATACAGGGTAGGATAGAGTGCAAATGAAAGCAACAGCTATGCATAGCAGTGGTTAACAATAACAGGTAGTTTTTCATTAAAATTATCCTAATGTGAATCGGTGCTCACTATAGCGAGTTTTTTTTTTCAGCTGAGAAAAGATGCCCAGCCCCCTCCTCAGGAGTTACAGCTGATTGGCTGTCGCAAACCTGCCTGATTTGGTCCTGAGTAATGATGTATTTCTAAATGAGTTTATTCATAATCTGTGAGATTTGAATCATAGACTGCGTTCTTTGTAGACTTTATTCTACCAGCGTCAGCTGGAGACTGGCAACCGGGCGCTGCCATAGACAAGCCCCCCCATCTCAACATGTGAAAACATATCGTACGATGGTACAATCTTATCTTTGGGATGACCGTTTCAGATGGGAAAGATATTTAGCTAAATTATATAAATATACATACCTTCATTATTTCAAACATATGCACATAGGAAGTTTATCAGAAGTATTATACTTGAATTAACTGATAAACTCGGGTGGCAAATTCACGCTTTCGGAGGATACATTTAATATATATACTTATTATTACCTACAATTAGACTCACTAAGACAAATTACATATCAATAATAGTATATTAGGCAAAAACAACATTTTTTTAAAGATGAGAATCACATTGAAATATTACACGACCGTTAGCAGAGGCGGGAAATATGACTGAACTACTTTAAATTTTTCCCGCCTCTGCTAACGGTCTTGAAATATTTAATGTGATTCTGATCTTCTAAAATGTTGTTTTTGCCCCCCAGCCCATCATCCTCTTCTCCCACCGGCCTCAGGTCCCCACTCTACGTCACGGGTTAATACTTCGGACATGGGTTCATATTCCCCGGGTTCACAACACTCTGAGACAATGCTGACTGTCACAGGTGGAAGTGTGGAAGGCACATGTATAAATTGTTTACATAATATATGTACGGTTTAATGGTAATCTCCTCTTGGAACTACTGTACTACTCAAATTACCTGGTACAGGTATCTTAGAAACTACACAAATTGCCTGTTAAGGTGATATCTCCATTAGCCAGAACAATTGGTGCAGAGCACTTCCAAAAATGAGAAATCTTTGGGTAACGAGACGACTCTCTCAAAGCCGGAAAAAATCCCTCATCCCCGAAATTTTCCGCAATTTTCCAGATACCAGAAATTCTTCCTTGGAGTCCCTGGAAAATGCACCAGATTTTCATCTCCCATCCCCAGAAAATGCTTTCCTTGGAAAATTGTTCCCAAACCCGGAAATTCTGATAAAATTTAAATTCCGGCTATCGGAGAGTTCCAGTTAAGAGGGATTCCGGCTAATGGGGATATTATCTTAAGAACAATAAAAATCACCTGGTATCTTAGAAACTAAAAAAATATCTGGCATCTTATCATCTATATACTGTACTATATAAATTAGTATCTTGGCCCAAGCATTACACAAGTTTCCAGAAATAAAACTTACCCACGTAACAAGCCGCCAGTTTCTGATGTATCCCACCATCCTACTCACGTCCACACATTACCAGAGTCTTGACAGGAACAGGTCCACCATCCACCTAGATGGAACACAGTTTGGATAAGTAATGCTGTATTTATAAAACCAGTGGATTTGTTATTAATTTATTTACTTGTTAAATTAGTAGTGTGATATTTGCCCCCTTTTCCTTGACAACAGTCTTAACAACCATTGCTCCAAGATTCAAGTATATGGTATTCCATTTCTTGGTTCAAAAGTTTATGTCAGGAAATGGAGCAAATGGACAGAATAGGAAGTAAACACTAAGAATAAATGAATAGGTACTGGATTAATGTATCCATCTACATTAAGATACGGATACAAATATATGTCTAAGTAATTAAGATACCTGGTACTAAACGCCTGGACAATATTTCTAGAAGGTGGGTTAGTTGTTATAAGTCAATACATAATTGATATCACAACCCTTATGTGGAGAACTGCAATGTAAACCTCTCCCAACTGAAGTGCTGAAAACTATAAATTTATAGGTAAATACTAATTACTATTGAAGGTCAACTCCTACAATTGTATACTTAAATTATCACTAACAAGTATTTTTGGTACACTAAAAATTTCCTTGTATGTTATCCTTCACCTATCCATCACCACAGTCCTTCACCTATCCACCACCACAGTCCTTCACCTATCCACTGTAATGATTGTTTATCAGACCACAGCTTACCAGAGAATTACAACACATATAGCAGGGCAGGATGCAAATGCACTACAGGAGGATCTAAATAAACTGCAGGGGTGGTCAGAAAAATGGCAAATGAAATTCAACATCAGCAAGTGCAGCGTACTTAATATTGGAAGAACAAATACTGACAATGTATACAGCCTTAACAACATCAACCTAAAGAAGTCAACTTGTGAAAGAGACCTAGGGGTACTTGTAAGCCCGGACCTACGGCCTAGAAAACAGTGCGTTAATGTTCGAAATAAGGCAAACAGAGTATTGGGTTTTATATCTAGAAGTGTAATTAATAAGAGTGCAGAGGTCTTATTGCAACTATATCTTACGCTAGTCAGGCCGCACCCAAAGTAGCGCTTGTGTGTTTAACAAGTAAAATCAGCTTGGGTGCCTAATCTTCACGTGATTCAAAATTTGGTGAGTGGTTAGTGGCTTACATCATGGAACACACGTTTTAGCCTAAATCACCTATTGTTACTGACAGTCATACACCACTTAGAACACTTATATAAACACTAATGAACAGCCGCACCTACACGTCTGGTGGTTAAAAATAATTTATAAAGACTGAAGGTACAGTGTACACAGTTAAGACATCTGTACAATGTGATCCACGACTGAGGGACAAACTGACAGTACTATAAATGACCTGAGCCAACCACTAATGAGGGTTGATCATGACACAATTACCTGTTATAATGTTTATAACCCTCTATGATGATGATGATGATGATTGGTGGTGGTGGTGGTGATGATAATTGGTGGTGGTGATGAACGATGATGATTGGTGGTGATGATGAACGATGATGATTGGTGATGATGATGAACGATGATGATTGGTGGTGATGATGATGAACGATGATGATTGGTGATGATTGTTGGTGGTGAATGATGATTGGTGATGATTTGTGGTGGTGGGGATGATGATAGGTGGTGGTGGTGGTGATGATTGGTGGTGGTGATGATTGGTGGTGGTGATGATTGGTGGTGGTGATGATTGGTGGTGGTGATTGGTGGTGGTGATGATAGGTGGTGGTGGTGGTGATGATACGTGGTGTGGTGGTGATTGGTGGTGGTGGTGATGATTGGTGGTGATAGGTAGTGGTGATTGGTGGTGGTGGTGATGATGATGATGATAGGTGGTGATGTGATTGGTGGTGATGTGATTGGTGGTGGTGGTGATTGATATGATTGGTGGTGGTGATTTGTGGCGGTGGTGATGATGATAGGTGGTGGCGGTGATGATAGGTGGTGTGGTGGTGGTGATGTGATTGGTGGTGGTGGTGATTATGAATGATAATAAATAATGATAATAAATAATGATGATGAATGGTGATGCCGCCGCCCCCAGTTCTAAGACCACGACCCAAGTAACGCTCGTGGCATCTACACTATAAATTACATTGAAAGTGATGGTAATGATCCAACTACATAATTTACCCCGTCAACAGCAGCAATTAGGCCGTGGCGACGATACCTTCCACGCTTACCGACACAAACTACTCAACAACGTAGTTTAATGAGAGAGAACCAGCCAGAAAACCCTCAGTAATATGTGTGTGTATGTATGTGTGTGTGTATGTATGTATGTATGATTCTTACTCAATAAATTAATATAAAATCAAGGTTCCAGTTCTGGTAAGCAAGTACCGCCGAGCAACAATGTTAACAAACAACAACGAACAGTTACGTTACTACTTGTGATATTGAAACATTTTATTTAACCAGAAAAATACCGGTGAAGAGTGGATAATAATAACACTATTGACCTGGTTGAGCTTGCTTTGGTTAATAGTCATCATAATAGCAGTATTATCTGTCAGAGTCATGGCGTCCCCAACTGCTAGACACGGGGAGGAGAGCGTACACCGCCGGTTCCCTCCTGCCTGGACCACACAGTACAAAAACACAATTATTTTATCAACATACCTTCACGTAATTGCTAATAACCACAACGTAGAGTCCATGAAGCCCTTACGGCGCCACAAACACGAGGTAATCCACAAACAGCAAACGTTGAACACGGAAATCGCCATCAAATACTGCATCAACACACACACACTTCAGCAGCCGTCATTACCGTACTCCCTAAGTTATCACTGGCAAATGGCGAGAGAAAGTGGAACGAAGAATTTCTATCTCAGAAGGACCACTCCCCTGAATTGGCCGGGTTGTCACAAGAGATATTTGGCAACAATTTTAGTTGGGTATTCGGCCACTTGGCGGCGCGCTGTCGCATGCCTGTCCACAGTCATAGTTTGGCCACTCAGGCGCCATGTTGTTACTCAGCGGGTGGGACGTCTTTTCGGGTTGCCTCTCACATAGTTTATAATATATTTAAAGAGTTTTAAACATGTATGACAATTTTATTGAATAAATATTATCATCATCATAATCATCATTTCCTTCAGTACGAGCGCAAACGTCTTATTAGCTGAGTAACAAAATGGCGCCCGCATGTCACCCAGTTGACCGAGCTCTCTCTCTATCTACGGCTCTGTGCGGGTCGTCTGCTTGTCGTTTGCAGTGTTTATAAATTTGACTGGTGGTGTACTTGGAGTGGGGGGCTTAAGAGTGCCCGCCCACATTTACACACTGAGATGCTGTCTTGTCTCACACCCAGGGCGAGCCTACAGTACGCCTCACGTGTCTTCCTGTAATTCCACGCCCACCACCACCTGTAGTGCCCTTGTGGTCCAGAAGGATGTCCTCGCTCTCCCCACCCTGTGTCAGCTCTTAACGGGAGCCACAGGTACAAGGCACTACCACGCCAGCCATCTCCAGTGGTTTATTGCCTCAACTCTGTCTGCCTCTGACTCTCCTCTGGGTCACACATAGTGACTGGCGTTTCTCTAGTGTTTGTTATTTGTCCTTATTAACCTTCACCAACATGAACACTAAATAAACAAAAAGTAACAACAGTCACGCTGATAGCAAGAGACAATGACGATATATTTGGGAAGAGATGAAAGTGAAAGTGATTTGGATATTTTGAAAAAGAGGGAGACTATTCTGTTGACATACAGACACAATGAACCTTCATTAAGTGACCATATCTACCATTTATGCTAATGCAGGTTATTACAACAGCTCACAACTCTCTGTCACAAAATTCCATGACAGACAGCGGCCTAGGGAGGGGGTGCCACGGAGAGGGGGACACTGTATATATAAAAATTCAATACCAGTTTTAGCAGGCAGTCATGTATCTCATTTCCGTGTGACAATTTTCAATTATTCCCGAACATGTCCTCAAGGTCTATATTCTTAAAACTTTACTCATTAGACATCTTTTTGGGGGGATTATTCTCTGTGTGTGTCCAGCGCTGAGTGAGGATAATTGTATGCCCCGTATCCCTTTGTCTGTGTGTGTGTGTTAACGTGCCATCTCCATTCACCATTTTCCACCCACTGTACATAAAAATTGTTTGTGATTGGCCAGGTCCCAGGTACGAAATAGCTTGGTTGTTTTTGTCGGATATTTTGCGTCAACAAACTTCCATTCCATTTACAGCGTGAAGTAAAAGACCAATACAGGAGAGAATTGTTGTTGTTTATAAATATATATGTGTCAGTCTCTGTAAAGGACACCGGGTCGAGCTGACTCTTAATCGAGTTATTGAATAAGTTCCTTTTAGATAAATGAATTCGGTGGCTCAGTGGTAGTGTCTCTCTTTCATGTAGAGATAAGGGTTCGAGCCTCCCTGGTCAGAGAGATTTGCTATGCTATACAGAGATACAGAGAGTCTCAGAAAAAGTATACACACACCACCTAACAGAATTACATTGAGATCGTATAAATATTCGTATTGTCACAGCAACATTGTCCTCACTTGTTCGTGTGTGTGTGTGGGGGGACTGAGGATCATGTTGGTGCTATACTACGAACATTAACACGATCGCCACGAAATTATGTAAGGACAGTTTATATACATTTTTCTGAGACAACCTGAATATGTGTGTGTGAGTGTGTGTGTGTGTGTGTGTGTGTGTATGTGTGTTTAGGCAAGAGGGGGGTGTGTACAGAGGGCCTGGCAGGAGGTCGCTGTGTAAACATCTTGACTCCCGCTTCATTAGTTTAGTGCTGGTTGTGTGCTGCTTATTTCTATCTATCTATCTATCTATCTATCTATCTATCTATCTATCTATCTATCTATCTATCTCCGTCAAACTCCATTGAAAATCCAGAAATAATCTTATTTAACATATTAACTTTGCCTGCTCCATTTACTTACTTCCCGTCGCCAAATTAGCGAAATCCTCCCCCCTCCCCCCTATTAAGCTACCCTCCCCTCTCCTCAACGTCCCTCCTTCCTCTCCCCACGCGCTCCCCCCCCAAGACC